CAGCATTCTCCTTTCCAGGGCGATAGGAGACGCCGAATGAATAACAAGAGAGTTTCATCCGCCATCTTGCAATTTTCTCATTTTTTATTTTACTTGAGGTTTTCGGGTTAAACATGAATGATACTGATTTTTGGTCGTTGATAAGGTGGAATTGTCTACCAATCAGATAATGCCTCCATTTTTGTAAAGCTTCAACTATGGCGTATGCTTCTTTTTCTATGGCACTATGCCTTCGTTCAGACTTCGAGAGTGTCCTAGAGAAAAAAAGCTACAGGCCAACCATGTTGTCTTAAGGAGGCAGCTATTGCCGAATCAGATGCATCGGTTTCAACTACTAGTGGAGCTGAAGGATTAATGGCAGCAATGGCAGAATTAGCAATATCCCTTTTTAAATTTTGAAATGCTCTAATGGCTGAATCAGATAATGGAAAAGTTCTTACTTGAGTAAGTAAATGTATTTTTTTCAGAAAAGGGCGCAACCCATTGGGAATAATGCGCAAACATGCCAAGGGCTCGTTGTAAAGCAGCTATATTTCCAGGAATTGGTAATTCCATCAGGGGTTTAAGTATCTCGGGGTCTGGTCTCATGGCACCATTCCTGACTATGTACCCTAGTAGCTTGATGCTTTTCAAATTATATGAACACTTTTCCTCATTAAGGGTCAGGTCATATTTATTTATGGCGGCCATGAATCAGTTGAGGTTGTGGTTATGATCTTCCTCGTTATAACCGCAAATAGTGACATAGTCTATGTATGCCACAGTACCCTTCAATTTCTCATTAGAAATGATTTTGTCTATTACCCTTTGAAAACTCGCGACCCCATTTGTAACCCCAAAAGGGATCTTACGGAATTGATATAAACGCCCACAAGCTTCGAATGCCGTGTAAGGTTTTTCCTCCGGCTTGATGGGTATCTGATGGTAGGCACTCTTAAGGTCCAACGTGCTGAAAATACGATAATTAGTGATATCGGAAACCATTTCGTCAATACGGGGCAGCGGATATGCATCGAGCTGTGTATATCTGTTGATGGTTTGGGAATAATCAACAACCATCCTCTTTTTATGGTTTTCATTAGTCATTATTAGGACCTGGGCTCTCCATGGCGATTTGCTGGGCTCTATCTATATTATTTTCCTTAAGAAGTCTCTTCACTTCCATTGCAATAAATTCCTCGTCTTTGAGCGAATAGCGTCTAGATTTTAGGGCTATAGGTTTGCAGTCAGAGGTTAGATTTGAGAAGAGAGATGGATACTGGACTTTTGCAGTTGCTAATCCACATATTTGCAGCACTGGTTTGATACCACCAAACGGAATTGTAAGGTGAGAATGTCAGTTAAGGAAATTGTGCCCTAGAACTACTTCACAGCAGAGGTTCCTCATTACCAGCAACTTGATTTTAGAATAGAAATTTTCTTTTAGCTTGAGGTTAACCATGCAGAATCCGATTACACGGCAGGATAAGGATGAAGTGGCCATCGATATTTGATTAGAACAGGAAAAGATTTTCCATTTGTTTGTTTCCACGATATGTGCATCAATAAAATTTTCAGAACTCCCTGTATCAATAAGAGCATGGAGATTTAGTCCATTCACTCTGGCCAGCACAATTGTTTTAGAGAGGCATTTGGGAGAGACAGTCGATACGGTAGATAGAGATAGGGGCCGGCCGACAAACCTTTAAAAAATGTCCCTGCTTGCCACATCCACGACATCTACTGTTTCGAGCCGGGCAGGATGAATGAGCGTGTTTACGAAGGCCGCAGAAGTAGCACTTAATATCAGCTGAAGCGATAGTAACGGGTTGTTCAATAGTATTTGAAGAATCCTTATCCTGAGGGTCACAATGTTGTGAATTTGAGATGGGAATTTGTTGGGAATGAGAATGGGCAGGAATAGTAGCCCCTGAAAAATCAGGTTGCGAATAGAGATCTGATTGTTTCTGGGCCATGTCCAACGTAACGGCTAGCTCGTAGGCGATAGCCAGATCGAAGTCCTTGTTTTCGAGCATCCTTTGTCTGATTTGGTTAGACTGTACTCCACTGATGAAGGCATCTCTTATTGAGATATCCCTGGCTTGGCTTGCTGTCAGGGCAGTAAAATCACAGTCGCAACTTAATATTTTCAGGTTTTGAAGATACAGCTCTAGACTTTCTTCAGTTTCTTGACGCCGAGAAGCAAGTAAGTATCTTGCAAAAATGGAGTTTTTCTTCTTAATGAACATACCATCCAGAGTGCTTATAGCAGTATCATAATTTTGACACCCGGACAAACACTTATAAATTGGAGTGGAAACATGGTGTAAGAAGAGGGTTAATTTCTGTGAGCCAGTCAATGATGACGTTGAAGAAGACTGCAGCTCCGAAAGAAATCCCTCGAACATATCCCTCCGAAGTTGCCATTTGTCACTAGAATCAGGGTCTGACATATCAAGTTCCAGGCAGTCAGGCTTGAGGTATCGTTCCATTATTTTAAGTTGAATAAATTGTAATGAATAACCCCGAAGCGAATAAACTTAGGAAAGCTTTTTTCAACTTAATACAGATACAAAAAGAAAAGAATTAAGCTAGCTTATTTATAAGCATTTCTGGAGTCTGTCCATTACACCAAACAGGGGGAGCAGGTTGTGGGAATTACTTACAACAGTCTTTATAGTTTTAATAGACTACCATTCAGTGTCAAAGTTTCACCTAATGTTTTTTATGAAGTAATGGATAGGAGGCTAGCTGGCTTATATTTTGCCATTGGATATTTGGATAATGTACCCATAAAAAGCAAACCTAGGTGGCTGCATTCAAAACATATTCAGCAAGTTTTCCAGAGAATTGAAGAAAACAGGTTCAAACTCAATGAGGAGAAATGCCAATTTTTCAGGAATAATACAAATCACTTGAGATACATAATTGATGCAAACAGACAGACCAGGCCTGTCAAGGATGAGTGCTATTAAAAATATGCCTTTTTGATAAAGTAATCTCCCTTGTTTTGTGATTACCTTACTTTAAGGAAGTCTTGTTTGTAGAGAACTATAAATAGTCACTACACTGGTATCAATTATCATAAGCAGAATAGTGCTCTTAGATTGTCCAAGTTTCCATTTGATAGCTTACATACATCAATGGTTTGTCCAGATTCCTGTAAACTTAGATAAGCCTAAGGTGAGGTGGGCTGTATTTTGGAAGTTGAATGCATCATTTTTTGGTGAACGAGATTTCCAGGACCAACTGTTACTAATGCTACAGAAGGAATTGGGAATTGATAGGAGCTGTGGTTGCGAATAATTGCTGGGATAATCTAAAATCCAAAATTAGGTCATTTGCTGATGATTTTAGTCGTTGACTCAACCTATCTATGTTAGCACCACAAACAGTATTAGAAACCAAGTTTGATTGGGCAATCAAATCCTGTGATAGTGTGGATGTAGCTTTAGCTAGGGCAGAGATTGCCTACTTGCTTATCAAGCTCTGCTAGTTAGGACTAGATTAAAAAAGAATGTCTTCCGAAGAGATGAACTTGGCTGCTGAATTGCATACAAAGGAAGCTCAAAACGCAACCAATCAACATATTGCTAGCATCACATAGCCGGACAAGTGAACCATGACTACAAACAGGGGCATATGCAAGACTTTTTAAAATTACTTTCAGGATCTTTTTACCAGCGATTGCAGTCTGAGCCCTGCTCAGTTTGAGGCAGCTGAAGAGGCTGGGTGCAAGGTTCCCATCACAGAGTCTGAGATCTGGGAAGCATTGAAGCTGGTTAGCCAGGACAAAATTCTGGGATTAGATTGTCTTCCTTACAAATTGTACTTGAGGCAGTTGCCTGTTTTTGTTCCCTTGCTGGAATTGATTTACAACAACGGGATGAAGCAGAGATCTATACCTCAACGTTTGACCAGGGGTGTTATAAAGTTTATGACATTGAATGAATGGATTCCTTTTAAGGAACAAGTCTACTGAAACTTTTTGAAGTCTACCCAGATAAACAAAAACTGATGATAATTAGATAATACAATAATGATAACAATTCATCACAGAAATTCAGAGAAAAAAGTATAAAAGATTTAGCTGCTGCCATAACAACAGCCAAAGATAAACATTAATGGTAATATTAGCTGTTTCCTTATGAGGAAACATCCGGCATTCACTGTCCGAGCAACCAGTGCTGCAGGAGTTATATGTTTGATCACTCCTTGACCAAGTAGCCGAGATCAAAGTGTAGTATCTGCTATCCTCATCTCTAATGGCAATATCAGCTCTTTCTTCGTAATGAAACATTTGGCATTTATTTCCTGAGCAGCCAGTGATACACTTCTTTCCACATCCTAACCATAAGACTGGGATCAAAGTGTAGTACCTTTTCTCATCTGTAATGGAAACATTCATTGATCGATCAGTTCGCGTTTATGTTAGCAAAAATTTATAAAATGTTTCTCTTGAAACAATTCTTCAGGAAAGTATGCTTCTCCAGTTCATTAACTGTTATTGCTCTTTCCAGCGTTGATCAGGGCTCCTTTCCTGTTTGGAATAGTCAGCATCATATTTATATTATTATTTTTTTGAATTACTTATGAGATTTATTTTTATTGTTGCTGCTGTTGAAAGTTGTTAGGTAATGTGGTTTCTATTATTTGGTAAAGTTCTTTGTGATTCTGTAATGCCAGTCCATGAGGTTTGAAGAAGAATGATCATCACTCAAACATTCATACCACACTTGAAGCTATTTTAAACTTTGAACAGTGGAAGCAGTTGTATACAGCAGACATTTCTTAAGGAGTTTGGTCTTAATCTGATTTGGTTATTTAGTAACATGATTACATATTTTAGGTTTAATGTTTTTATTTTGCTGCAATTAGCAGTGTTGGACAAAATACCTCTAGCCCAGCCTATTTATTCTAAGTTCAATTTCTTTATCTCCTATACTAACCGATCAATATGCTGAGGTATTTGAATGGATTGGTATTTATGAATTGCATGAGAAAATAAAAAAAAAATCTACCTCTCTCCATTGATGATTCACATGCGGGATTGTTTACTTCAGGTGTTTTACTTTCTTGCTCATCCAAATTCAAAGTAGAAGAGACAGTGGATTTGTTATCATTGTCACCTTGAGAAAAATAAAGTACTTTGTTAATTTTCTAGATTATAAACAAATGAATTTATGCATTCTTTCTTCAGAATTAAAAACAAATGTATTAAACATAATTGGGTAATAATTTCAGGTATAACACATTATGTCAGTGCTATGTGAGAAAGGATAACCTTACTCATATTAATTTCCAAATGGAATTTGAGCTGCAAGAGGAGCCTTCCTTGTTTCTGAAGAAGACATATTTATTTTTGATTTAATGGTTACTTTTAAGGAACAATTCAACAGAAATTTCATCAAGTCAACACAAATCAACAGAAATTGATGATAATATGATGAGTATATTAGTCCAGAAGCACATATATCCTCATCCCAGAAATTCAGATAGAAAATATAAAATAAGGCATTTAGCTGCAGCCCTAATAACAACCAAATATAAATGTTATGCTTTAACAGTAATGGTAATATTAGCTGTTTACTTATAAGGAAACATTCAGCATTAACTGACTGAGCAACCATTGATACTTGAATTATACTTTATATCACTCCCTGACCATCTCGCTGAGATGAAAGTGTAGTATATGCTATCCTCATCTCTAATGGCAATTGTAATATTAGCTTTTTTTATGAGGACCATTTGGTATTTATTGATTGAACAGTCAGTGCTACTCAATTTACACTTTTCATCACTCCCTGGCCATCGGACTGGGATCAGAGTGTAATATCTGCTCTCCTCATCTCTAATTGCAATATTAGTTCTTTCCTCATAAGGACACAGTTGACATTCATTGGCAGAGCAGCCAGTGTTACACTTTCTTCTTCCTAGCCATCAAGCTGGGATCAAAGTGTAGCATCTGTTCTCATAAGTGGTAATAGTAGCCATTTCCTTATAAAGGAAACATTCACTGATCGAATACTTACAAAAAAAACTTCTCTCAAAACAATTCTTCAGCAAAGTATGTTTCTCCAGTTCATTAACTGTTATTGCTCTTTCCAGTGTTTACTTGGGCTCCTTACCTAACTGTTTGAAGTAGTGTGGAATCAGATTCTTGATTACATCATTATGTTTTGTTCAAGTTACTTATGATATCTATTTTAGTGTTGCTGCTGTTGAAAGTCCTCACGTGATGTGGTTTCTTTATGGTTCTTCCGTACCAGTTCATGATATTTGAAGAAGGAAGCTCATCACTCAGATGAGCATATTTCACTTTCTTGAAGGTATTCTAACCTTTGATCTGAGAACATGATTGTATACAACAAACAGGTCAGAAAGAGTATGGCACTGTGCAAGACATCTACATGTAAGTCTCAACCCAATAGGGCTATTTAGGGACATGATTCCAGATTTAAGACATCATGTTTTGCTTCTGTAGTAATTGGCATCATTGGACAAAAATAACTCTAGCCCTGCCTATTCTACATTCAATTTCCTTATTTCCTATCCTCAAGGAAGGTCACTGAATAGAATAATCAAAGGAAGGTTGGTAATGAACGATGATACTTAGTACATGAACAACCCATATAAGATTCGGCAGTGGTGCATAGAAGTAGTAGTCAACTGCTCGAAGTGAGCCAAGTGAATTCAACCATGAATCTGCAACAGCGGACTAACATACAGAATTTACTACTGCATTTATGTGAATAGGGACATAACCATTATTGCCCGTAGGTATGTTACAACCCTAAATTTGTTATAATTGATGCATATGCTAAGGTATATGAAGTAATTACTATTTATGAATTGCATGAGAAAATAAATAAAAATCTACCTGTCTCCATTGAGGATTCATATGTGTGATTGTTTTCTTCAGGTGTTTTACTTTCTTGCTCATCCAAATTCAAAGTAGAAGAGACAGTGGATTTGTTATCATTGTCACCTTGAGAAAAAAAAAAGTACTTTATTTTCTAGTTTATAAACAAATGAGTTCATGCATTCTTTCTTGAGAATGAATAACAAATGTATTAAACATAATTGGGTAATAACGTCAGGTATAACAGATTATGTCAGTGCTATGTGAGAAAGGCATAGTCTCAGTATGTATTCCCCACCTCCTAATATGGACATTATTATATTCATAATATGTGATGATAATTAGGTAATTGAAGTAAGTCATATTGTACAAGTGCTGACTGTATGACCAAAGTGAAAAAGTGAAAAAATAAAATAAAAAATAACTGCACCAAACAAACTGCTATGGTTGTAGGGGACTTCATTTTAAAATAAATTGCCTATTCAAAAATAAAAAGCATTTCCAATGTCAGAAAATCAGGGCCGAGTCAGTCATTGTAAATTAAAACAAATAAAAAAAATGAAAGACATTTTAATACAGTATAAGTTATATTGTAAACTCAACATCTGAATTAGTCCAAAGATAAGTTTAAACAAATAATGCCGAATAAAATCTTGAATTGAACACAGGCGGCAACTTTTACGATAATTAATGAAAAGACTTTAAAAAATATTGGTCAACCTACACTAAAAAATTTGCATGTGGCAACTCAGAGAAAAAAAACTTAAGCTTTCCAGATGAAATTGCATGTGCCATTGTCCCATGTGCCAATAAAACTTTAAAAACTAAAGCATTCATATTAAAAGTTAACATGTTAAACTTATTGGGTGTAAACTGGATGAAACTGTTTGATTTCTGGAATCTACCTGAAATTTGTAAAAAAAAAAAAAACAAGTATGGTGACTGGAAGTTTTGTAAAGGAGTTAAAGAATTTTCCTCCTGTGTTCTCTGAAGATCTTGGAAAATGTCCAAAGGTGAAAGCCATTTTTTAGTTAAAGGAAAATGTATTTCCTGTATTTAAGCCTAAATGTAGGTGTAGCTTTTGCAATTGTGGTATCTCTTAACAAAGAACTTGACAGATTAGAAGCTCTAGGAAGAAATTTCACCCACAGATTATTCTGAGTGGGCAGCTCCAACAGTGTATGCAAAAAAAGAAAAATAACATTTAGGCATGTAGAAGATTTTTGACAGGATTAAATGAGTGTCTATTACCTCACACATATCCATTACCATCTCCAGAAGAATTTTTTTCTAAATTAAATGGAAGATTTTTTTTCAAAAATTGACCTGTCAGATGCATATTTACAAATTGGGTGAAAAATGTAAAAGAATTGTTAATTATTAAAATTCATAAAGGTCTATATAGTTGTAAAAGACAACCATTCAGTGTCAAAGAATGGCACCTAGTGTTTTTCATGAAGTAATGGATAGGAGGCTAGACTGAAACCTTATATTTTGCCATTGGATATTTGGATAATGTACCCATAAAAAGCAAAACAAGGTGGCTGCATTTAAAACATATTCAGCAAGTTTTCCAGAGAATTGAAGAAAACAGGTTCAAACTCAATGAGGAGAAATGCCAATTTTTTCAGGAATAATACAAATTACTTGAGACACATAATTGATGCAAACAGACATAGACCAGGCCTATCAAGGATGAGTGCTATTAAAAAATATGCCTTTTGATAAAGTAATCTCCTTTGTTTTGTGATTACCTTACTTTAAAGGAAGTCTTGTTTGTTGAGAACTATAAATAGTCACTACACTGGTATCAATTATCATAAGCAGAATAGTGCTCTTAGATTGTCCAAGTTTCCATTTGATAGCTTACATACACAATGGTTTGTCCAGATTCCTGTAAACTTAGATAAGCCCTAAGGTGAGGTGGGGCTGTATTTTGGAAGTTAAATGCATCATTTTTTTTGGTGAACGCGATTTCCAGGACCAACTGTTACTAATGCTACAGAAGGAATTGGGAATTGACAGGAGCTGTGGTTGCGAATAATTGCTGGGATAATTTAAAATCAAAATTAGGTCATTTGCTGATGACTCAACCTATCTATGTTAGCACCACAAACGGTATTAGAAACCAAGTTTGATTGGGCAATCAAATCCTGTGATAGTATAGATGTAGCTTTAGCTAGGGCAGAGATTGCCTCCTTGATTATCAAGCTCTGGTAGTTAGGACTAGTTTAAAAGAATGTCTTCAAAGAGATGAACTTGGCTGCCGAATTGCATACAGAGGAAGCTCAAAACGCAACCAATCAACATATTGCTAGCATTACATTGCCGGACAAGTAAACCATGACTACAAACAGGGGAATATGTAAGACTTTTTAAAATTACTTTCAGGATCTTTTTACCAGTGATTGCAGTCTGAGTCCTGCTCAGTTTGAGGCAGCTGAAGAGGCTGGGTGCAAGGTTCCCATCACAGAGTCTGAGATCTGGGAAGCATTGAAGCTGGTTAGCCAGGACAAAAGTCTGGGATTAGATTGTCTTCCTTACAAATTGTACTTGGGGCAGTTGCCTGTTTTGTTCCTTGTTTGTATTGATTTATAACAACGGGATGAAGCAGAGATCTATACCTCAACGTTTGACAAGGTGATAAAGTTTATGACATTGAATGAATGGGTTTCCTTTTAAATATAACAAGTCTACTGAAACTTTATGAAGTTTACCCAGATCAACAGGAATTGATGATAATTAGATAATACAACAATGATAACAATTCATCACAGCAATTCAGAGAAAAAAGTATAAAATAAAGGATTTAGCTGCAGCAATAGCAACAGCCAAAGATAAACATCAATGGTAATATTAGCTGTTTCCTTACAAGGAAACATCCGGCATTCACTGTCCGAGCAACCAGTGCTGCAGGAGTTATATGTTTGATCACTCCTTGACCAAGTAGCCGAGATCAAAGTGTAGTATCTGCTATCCTCATCTCTAATGGCAATATCAGCTCTTTCTTCGTAATGAAACATTTGGCATTTATTTCCTGAGCAGCCAGTGATACACTTCTTTCCACATCCTAACCATAAGACTGGGATCAAAGTGTGGTACCTTTTCTCATCTGTAATGGAAACATTCATTGATCGATCAGTTGATTTTATATTAGCAAAAATTTATAAAATGTTTCTCTTGAAACAATTCTTCAGGAAAGTATGCTTCTCCACTTCATTAAGTGTTATTACTCTTTCCAGCGTTGATCAGGGCTCCTTTCCTGTTTGGAATAGTCAGCATCATGTTTATATTATTATTTTTTTTTGAATTACTTATGAGATTTATTTTTATTGTTGCTGCTGTTGAAAGTTGTCAGGTAATGTGGTTTCTATTATTTGGTAAAGTTCTTTTGTGATTCTGTAATGCCAGTCCATGAGGTTTGAAGAAGAATGATCATCACTCAAACATTCATACCACACTTGAAGCTATTTTAAACTTTGAACAGTGGAAGCAGTTGTATACAGCAGACATTTCTTAAGGAGTTTGGTCTTAATCTGATTTGGTTATTTAGTAACATGATTACATATTTTAGGTTTAATGTTTTTATTTTGTTGCAATTAGCAGTGTTGGACAAAATACCTCTAGCCCAGCCTATTTATTCTAAGTTCAATTTCTTTATCTCCTATACTAACCGATCAATACGCTGAGGTATTTGAATGGATTAGTATTTATGAATTGCATGAGAAAATAAATAAAAAATCTACCTCTCTCCATTGATGATTCACATGCGGGATTGTTTACTTCAGGTGTTTTACTTTCTTGCTCATCCAAATTCAAAGAAGAGATGGTAAATTCGTTATCATTGTCACCTTGAGAAGAAAAAAAAGAAGTACTCTGTTTATTTTTTGTTTATAGAAACATGAATTTATGCATTCTCTTACTAGAATTAATAACAAATGTATTAAACATAATTGGGTAATAATATCACATCATGTCAGGTAAAACAGTTTATGTCAGTGCTATGTGAGGAAGGAATAAATCTCTATGCATTTCCCCCATTATAGGCATTATTATATCCATAATAATACATGGACAGTAAGAATAGATGAATGAAAAGGAATGTCAAACATGATTTACTTGCAGAGAGAGTTTTTATACAACTAAGTCATACACAAAATTATATGCACATTATTTACATGTGTCCCACACACAGAAACTATAACACATGTATACCAAACAAGTGGAACACAATGAGATAACCTTACTCATATTAATTTCCAAATGGAATTTGAGCTGCAAGAGGAGCCTTCCTTGTTTCTGAAGAAGACATATTTATTTTGATTTAATGGTTACTTTTAAGAACAATTCAACAGAAATTTCATCAAGTCAACACAAATCAACAGAAATTGATGATAATATGATGAGTATATTAGTCAAAAAAATATATCCTCATCCCAGAAATTCAGATAGAAAATATAAAATAAGGCATTTAGCTGCAGCCCTAATAACAACCAAATATAAATGTTATGCTTTAACAGTAATGGTAATATTAGCTGTTTACTTATAAGGAAACATTCAGCATTAACTGACTGAGCAACCATTGATACTTGAATTATACTTTATATCACTCCCTGACCATCTCGCTGAGATGAAAGTGTAGTATATGCTATCCTCATCTCTAATGGCAATTGTAATATTAGCTTTTTTTCTTATGAGGGACCATTTGGTATTTATTGATTGAACAGTCAGTGCTACTCAATTTACACTTTTCATCACTCCCTGGCCATCGGACTGGGATCAGAGTGTAATATCTGCTCTCCTCATCTCTAATTGCAATATTAGTTCTTTCCTCATAAGGACACAGTTGACATTCATTGGCAGAGCAGCCAGTGTTACACTTTCTTCTTCCTAGCCATCAAGCTGGGATCAAAGTGTAGCATCTGTTCTCATAAGTGGTAATAGTAGCCATTTCCTTATAAGAAACATTCACTGATCGAATACTTACAAAAACTTTCTCTCAAACAATTCTTCAGCAAAGTATGTTTCTCAGTTCATTAACTGTTATTGCTCTTTCCAGTGTTTACTTGGGCTCCTTACCTAACTGTTTGAAGTAGTGTGGAATCAGATTCTTGATTACATCATTATGTTTTGTTCAAGTTACTTATGATATCTATTTTAGTGTTGCTGCTGTTGAAAGTCCTCACGTGATGTGGTTTCTTTATGGTTCTTCCGTACCAGTTCATGATATTTGAAGAAGGAAGCTCATCACTCAGATGAGCATATTTCACTTTCTTGAAGGTATTCTAACCTTTGATCTGAGAACATGATTGTATACAACAAACAGGTCAGAAAGAGTATGGCACTGTGCAAGACATCTACATGTAAGTCTCAACCCAATAGGGCTATTTAGGACATGATTCCAGATTTAGACATCATGTTTTGCTTCTGTAGTAATTGGCATCATTGGACAAAAATAACTCTAGCCCTGCCTATTCTACATTCAATTTCCTTATTTCCTATCCTCAAGGAAGGTCACTGAATAGAATAATCAAAGGAAGGTTGGTAATGAACGATGATACTTTGTACATGAACAACCCATATAAGATTCGGCAGTGGTTATTTTATTAGTCAACTGCTCCTTTTTTTTTAATCTGAATTCAACCATGAATCTGCAACAATATTGGACTAACATACAGAATTTTACTACTGCATTTATGTGAATAGGGACATAACCATTATTGCCCGTGGGTATGTTACAACCCTAAATTTGTTATAATTGATGCATATGCTAAGGTATATTTAGTAATTACTATTTATGAATTGCATGAGAAAATAAATAAAAATCTACCTGTCTCCATTGAGGATTCATATGTGATTGTTTTCTTCAGGTGTTTTACTTTCTTGCTCATCCAAATTCAAAGTAGAAGAGACAGCTGGATTTGTTATCATTGTCACCTTGAGAAAAAAAAAAAGTTTTTTTTTCTAGTTTATAAACAAAATGAGTTCATGCATTCTTTCTTGAGAATGAATAACAAATGTATTAAACATAATTGAGTAATAACGTCAGGTATAACAGATTATGTCAGTGCTATGTAAGGAAATTCTCAGTATGTATTCCCCACCTCCTAATATGGACATTATTATATTCATAATATGTGATGATAATTAGGTAATTAAGTAAGTCATATTGTACAAGTGCTGACTGTATGACCAAAGTGAAAAAGAAAATAAAATAAAAAAATAACTGCACCAAACAAACTGCTATGGTTGTAGGGGACTTCATTTTAAAAATAAATTGCCTATTCAAAAATAAAAAGCATTTCCAATGTCAGAAAATCAGGGCCACTCAGTCATTTAAAAAAAATTAAAACAAATAAAAAAATGAAAGACATTTTAATACATATAAGTTATATTGTAAACTCAACATCTGAATTAGTCCAAAGATAAGTTTAAACAAATAATGCGAATAAAATCTTGAATTGAACACAGGCGGCAACTTTTACGATAATTAATGAAAAGACTTTAAAAATATTGGTCAACCTACACTAAAAAATTTGCATGTCAAACTCAGAGAAAAAAAAATTCTTTTCAGATGAAATTGCATGTGCCATTGTCCCATGTGCCAATAAAACTTTAAAAACTAAAGCATTCATATTAAAAAATTAACATTTAAACTTATTGGGTGTAAACTGGATGAAACTGTTTGATTTCTGGAATCTACCTGAAATTTGTAAAAAAAAAACAAGTATGGTGACTGAAAGTTTTGTAAAGGAGTTAAAGAATTTTCCTCCAGTGTTCTCTGAAGATCTTGGAAAATGTCCAAAGGTGAAAGCCATTTGTTAGTTAAAGGAAAATGTACTTCCTGTATTTAAGCCTAAATGTAGGTATGGCTTTTTCAATTGTATCTCTTAACAAAGAAATTGACAGATTAGAAGCTCTAGGAAGAAATTTCACCCACAGATTATTCTGAGTTTTGGCAGCTCCAACAGTGTATGCAAAAAAAAAAATAAACATTTAGGCATGTGGAAGATTTTTGACAGGATTAAATGAGTGTCTACAACCTCACACATATCCATTACCATCTCCAGAAGAATTTTTTTTCTAAATTAAATGGAAGATTTTTTTTCAAAATTGACCTGTCAGATGGATATTTACAAATTGGGTGAAAAAGGATGTAAAAGAATTGTTAATTGTTAAAAGTCATAAAGGTCTATATAGTTGTAAAAGACAACCATTCAGTGTCAAAAGTGGCACCTAGTGTTTTTCATGAAGTAATGGATAGGAGGCTCGCTGGCTTATATTTTGCCATTGGATATTTGGATAATGTACCCATAAAAAGCAAAACTAGGTGGCTGCATTTAAAACAATCAGCAAGTTTTCCAGAGAATTGAAGAAAACAGGTTCAAACTCAATGAGGAGAAATGCCAATTTTTCAGGAATATTACAAATTACTTGAGACACTGTGGCGGACATGAGACAGAACCTGGGACGAGCACAACTGGTCGCGACTTGCCTTGTCCCCACCAAAAAAAGAGCCGTGTTGCTTAGCATGTAAAGCTACTGCAGTTGAAATGAGGGAGAGAAAAGCACTTACCGCTCTCTGTAATCCGTCCTCGGCCAGATAACGTAAAAAAGAATGAGGGGGACTGGCATCACATTTTATGCAATAATGATGCAATGCATTATGGGACATGGACGCAATGAATTATGGGATCACATGAAGACGCAAGGGATTTTCGGGTACATGAACAACTATAAAAACAACTACTTTTTCCAGTCGGGAGTTCTTGAGGGACGTTCACGGTTGACAAAGTGAGCGGGCAGTTAATTGATTTGGAGACAGAACTCAAGAAGGAACGACTCAAGTTTGAAATACCAGCTGGGAGAGCTTGAATTTACTCGCCGGTTACTGTTTTCTTCATTCGCCTCAGACACATAATTGATGCAAACAGACATAGACCAGGCCTGTCAAGGATGAGTGCTATTAAATATATGCCTTTTTGATAAAGTAATCTCCTTTGTTTTGTGATTACCTTACTTTAAAGAAGTCTTGTTTGTTGAGAACTATAAATAGTCACTACACTGGTATCAATTATCATAAGCAGAATAGTGCTCTTAGATTGTCCAAGTTTCCATTTGATAGCTTACATACACCAATGGTTTGTCCAGATTCCTGTAAACTTAGATAAGCCTAAGGTGAGGTGGGCTGTATTTTGGAAGTTGAATGCATCATTTTTTTGGTGAACGCAATTTCCAGGACCAACTGTTACTAATGCTACAGAAGGAATTGGGAATTGATAGGAGCTGTGGTTGCGAATAATTGCTGGGATAATCTAAAATCCAAAATTAGGTCATTTGCTGATGATTTTTGATCGTTGACTCAACCTATCTATGTTAGCACCACAAACGGTATTAGAAACCAAGTTTGATTGGGGCAATCAAATCCTGTGATAGTGTGGATGTAGCTTTAGCTAGGGCAGATTGCCTCCTTGCTTATCAAGCTCTGCTAGTTAGGACTAGATTAAAAAAATGTCTTTTCAAGAGATGAACTTGGCTGCCCGTTGCATACAGAGGAAGCTCAAAAGCATAGCGAATCAACATATTGCTAGCATCACATTGCGGACAAGTGAACCATGACTACAAACAGGGAATATATAAGACTTTTAAAATTACTTTCAGATCTTTTTTTACCAGTGATTGCAGTCTGAGTCCTGCTCAGTTTGAGGCAGCTGAAGAGGCTGGGTGCAAGCTTCCCATCACAGAGTCCGAGATCTGGGAAGCATTGAAGCTGGTTAGCCAGGACAAAAGTCTGTGATTAGATTTGCCTTACCAATTGTACTTGAGGCAGTTGCCTGTTTTTGTTCCCTTGCTGGCATTGATTTATAACAACGGGATGAAGCAGAGGTCTATACCTCAATGTTTGACCAGAAGTGTGATAAAGTTGCTTTACAAGAACAAGAATGGTGGGCATGAGACAGGTAATTATTGGCCTTTAATGATATTAAACACAGTTGAAGATTTTGGCCAAGATCTTAGCCGGCTATTTGCAGACTGTCCTACCTAGTCTGATTGGTTCCTCACATACTTGTTTTGTTAAGGGTAAGACTATTCAAGACAACCTGCATTTGGTATATTTGATCATTGAGCAAGTTGACATTGAAGCCATGTTGATCAATTTAGATCAGTCCAAGGCATTTGATAGGGTTGACCATTGATTTCTGGAGGCTGTCCTTTCAGCGACTGATTTTGGGCTGTACTTTTGCACATGGATCTGACTTCTATATGCATCTCCCAGTGCAATGGTGGAAGTGAATGGAGTAAGATTGGAGACTTGAATTGTCTCGCTCCATTCATCAATGTTGTCTGCTTTCACCATTGCTGTACGTTCTTGCATTGGAACCCTTCCTTAGCAAGTTAAAGATGAATTTGGTCCTACCACCTCAGCTAGGAACTCCGCCTATACGGACAATGTTTTGGTTCTTGTGTTGAGCAGAGCTGAGACTGACAAAGTCAGCAAAGAAACCAGAGGGTATGAGACAGTGACAGAGGCCAAGATCAACTGCAATAAGTCTGCTGGCTTGCTGTGGATGTATGGAAGGGAATTTCTTTTCCTGGACCTTTTCTCTGGATGGACAGGTTGATCAAGATACTCGGGGTCTGGTTCAGTCCCCGATCTCATTGGAAATGAATTGGTCAGAGGTGCAAAAGAAGGCCAAGAGTGCAGCTCATCTGTGGTCACGGAGGAGTCTTTCCTTAAAGAGGAGGGCGGAAGTATGTGCCTTGCACATCTACCCGATTCTCCTTTATTGACTCTCTGTACTTCCAATTCCGTATACCATACTAATAACATTAGTGAGGATCTAGTTCGCCTTCTTGTGAGGAGGCAGGTCCCCCAAGGTATATTGTGAGATCTGTTACCTCCACCAGTCTGATGGTGGTCTGGGTATGCCTAGCATTGTGATTCATTGACATGTACTTCACATTTCTTTTGTAGATTGGACGTGTTTGCAATTGGATGAGAACTGTAAATTCTGGAAGGAAGACATCTGTAAGAACTTTCCTTCCTTCAGAAGTGTGTACTCGCGTCGGAGGAGGCCTGCTGCTCACCCAGAGACAAGTTCTTCTTCTATCATGAATATAGACTTGCTCTCAAGTTCTTCTTATGAGCAATGGATGACATTCCCGATGTCCAGACGTTGACTTGTAAGACATTATATAAAGTTCTAGTGAAGGGATCCGTTCAGGATGATCCGACAGGCAAGCTCGATCTGACAAAGCAGGAGGCTTGCTCTATATGGCCTTGGGTACCTAGGTTGAAATGCCTCACTAATGATGAGGCATCACTCATCTGGCTGGTGATTCGAGGGGCCCTCTGGGTTAGGAAGAGACTTCGTTCAGCAGGATTGAAAAAATCTACAAACTGTGTATGCTGCGGTGAGTTGGTGGAGACACTGGATCACACCTTCTTCCACTACAGGATCATAGGCACATTGTGCAAGTTTGTTGAGGACATCATGGTTCGCATGTTGTGCTGGAGGCCAGTTCTGTTTGTCGTAATGTTGCACTGATATAGTGCTCAGCCTTAGACAATGTGTTCTTTTACTTACTAGGGGTTATGCAAGTCATGATATGGAGGA